GTGTTTTTTCAGTGGCTGAACCTAGTAAGATTGTATTCTTATTGTATACAGCAGCAGCACAGCAACATCTTACTCTAAATTTGCACAGTTGACGGTATACTTTTGCCGCTTAAAATGCCACTCATCTATGCCTTGCGGGATGACAACTTGCTGTCACTGTGAATTGCACCCCTTATTACTCCTCAGGGTGGGTGTGAGCACAGTGATCGAAGGTCTGATTGCTGCCACTGCAACTGGGACATCTTGATCTGTGTGCGGGCCATACTATTTGAAACACCTTCTCGGTCACATTCGAAATTTAGAGTGTAGGATTTGAGTAGCTAAACTGAGGTGCTTCGTAATCTGGATCATGCTCGTCATACTCGGCCATGGATGGGCAACACGAATTAAAGGAACAATCATATCACTGCATGGCAGAAGACGCAACACAGGATTGCAAGAATGTGTCTCGGAAAACCGCCCTCACCAGGAAAAGGTCTACGTCCTTTGCAGCTGCCGTACAAAACAAACCGAACAGCCCGCTCAGCGATCATTGGTTGATCAGGGCCTGCTGCAATGCCATCAGCCATTGACCCGGATAGCCAATGGCAAAATACGCGTGCGAACCTCGTGCAGAGTCAGGTTGCGGGAAGCCCAAGGGGACTTCATGCATGGGGTTCCATAGTAGGAGACCAACCCAAAACCCTAAACCCTAAACCTAAACATATGGGATCTCAGGGAGGCCGTGGGGTCCTTAAGTGGGGCCCGTTTGAGGATTCCTTGTTTTCAGGGCGCGATTTAAGATTCCGCGTGCAAGACTAAGGCTTCAGCATCAATGTTCTGAGCATTCGGATCAAGTGCCTAGACAGCAATTAGGGTTTAGGGCTTAGGGCAAACTAGCATATGTAGGGTCTTTTGAACTGACCATTCTGATTAGGGGTTTCTTGCTGCCCGATGAACGCTCAATTCTTGGCGCTTAGGTCTTTGTTTTCACCTACTTTGAAGCCCTAAAGTCCATGAACATAATATTAGTAATTAGGGTATATATGGGGGTTATATAGGGGTTATATGGATAATGGAAAAGAAAATGGAAACTACTATTTAGGGTTTAGGGTTTAGGGAATAATATGCGGCCGACATAGACCTATTGAAGGCCAGTTGGGGCAGTTGAGGGTTCTGGAATACCTACTTTGAGCTTCTTAGATTCTTGGATCCCTACTGGGTAAAATGCGCGCCATGGTGGGCATGTTTAATGCTAGCGGGTTTAGGGTCTATAGGGTCTAGCGGTGGGGGGTGTATTTAATGTCAATATGCAGACCTTGCACATGTAGCAAGAGGCTTTTACCCCGAGATACAACACTTCCCCAACTCTAGCTCTGTATTATTGAGCTTAGGATTAAGGGTTTAGGAAGCATTTTTTGGGCAAATATCCCTAAATCCCAAACCCAAGACCCAAAACCCCAGAACTTTATACCCGAGACCATAGAACTTTATACGCTAAACCCCAACCCCTCAACATTTATATCCTAAATCCTAGAGCTTCAAACCCTGAAACAAAGGAACTTCATACCCTAAACCCTAGAACTTTAAACCCTAAACTTTAAACCCTAAACCCTAGACTCTAAACTAAACCCTAAAACCCCTACTGCCTAACCATTCCCAGGAAGGCATGAGTCGGAAAACGCAGACCTCACACCAGGTGCACACCATCCTCGCCCATGAACAGCTTGTTCAGCCTTACGTGTCCAATATCTGTTTAGAGTGGCTTAAGGTTTTCCACGCCTTTCCTCTCGGGTTGCGGTTGGTTTGATATTTCTACGGTCTAGGGTTTGGGATACCTCGCCTGGCTCAAGGTTCTTTTCGAGGCACCCCAAGGATTGCATTAGTTACTAGTTCATATACAGGCTATGTTGGGACCCTCGAAGTACAACAACCGGAACACTTGAGAAGCTGCTTGGACAGGTGGCTCCTCCAGCCTTGCTAGCTGAGCGGAGAAGGCTTCTTGGGTGTAGTCGTGTTCACTGGCAATCAGCTTGTACAGCCTCTCCTGGGTCCCAATTCTGTAGGGAAGAAGAAGGATCCTGGTGGGAGTGATATAAGAAAACTTGTGATTACCCCCCAAGCATCTATAGTATAGGATCCCTCAAGCAAAAAATCCCCTGGGCCATAAGCCCTCAACCTGAAATCCTAACTCAGGCACAGTCTCTTTTGGGATCGGCGATCCGAGGGCGGCAAAAATTGGAGCCAGACTTCGACAAAGCGTTCTGAGAGGAATCACCTTGCTGATGATCAGTATGGGACGAAACACTGCAACCTGAAAAGGAAAAGTACCACGCTTTAAGGTTGTCCTTGCTGCCCGGAGGTCCATAGCAGGGAATGAAGGCGTAGAGAACGACTGTGGAAACTACTCTAGCGTATGGGGGGGAGGGCAGGGGCGAACGGAGGAATAGGATACTAGGCTACTAGGATATGAGCTATAATCTAAACTCCTAGTATCACCCTGAATAGCCGTCATAGTACCCCTTATATAATCCGTATAGAGTCTCCCTTTAAGGAGTTTAGACAATGGGGACCACTATAAGGAATCATCATTCCTGCCAACCATCATGCAGGGGGCAGGGACCCCGCTATAGACCCTAAAATGCTACAATCTCGATATGGGGACCCCCAAACCGCTAAACCCTTAACCCTGAACCCTACGCCTTTTTGGGAAACCACTGAGTCACGGGAGCAGGATTGGCAGCCTCATCTGCCAACTTTGCTTTCTTTGGAAGCGGCTCTTCCTGACTCTGCTCTGGAAGATTCCAAAAACGATTGTCGGGTGGTTTCCCAAAATTGGAAGTACCTTTATTAAAGAGATTGCAGGGGTTCTATAGTATATGGGGGTTATATAAGGTTTAGGGTTTAGAGTTTCACGAAATTAGGGGTACCATCTTGGGGTCCCAATAATAAGACTATTGTATTTTTGGGCTTATATTGGGGTTCCCCTATGTAGGGAATAAGCAAAAAAACATGTGTAGGATTGTCATTCTAGCTGTTTGGTGGGGTGTACAATAACCAGGAAAAGCAAATTCTTTCCAGGATATCCCTAGATTATACCTATAACCCTATATAACCCCTATACAACCCCCATATATAACCCAAGATCACCCTATAATTACAACCCTTTATATCCCTAGATTCTGCTTCACGTGGCTTCTCCAGTTTGGGTGGCGTCTGGCTCGGTTGTTGCGTCAGGCTCCTTTTCCGCTCAGGAGTCTGGGTAGCCGGGAGCTCTTCGTCCGCAAACATCTCCTAGGACTGCTGCCCAACGGGCGCAATGCAACTTGATTCAGGAATGTACCCCAACTGATGCCAGGACAGGAACCCTAGTAAGTTGTATTCCTTCAGTACGGAGTACTGCATTAGGAAGCCGGTCACCAGCGGACCAAAAGCCAGCCGTTTTCACGTAGACCAGTTTTGTTAGGAACCTGGAACACAAAAAAGAACAGCAACAATTTACTATGGGACGAAGTCTCCATCAGCTTCCTTACCAATTCCTTGCCGTTTGCGGTGAGGCAGAAGACATCCTTATCTTTCGAAAATCAGTAGAAGGCAAGTGCAAGTTCTTGAACCATACTACGTAGGTATGTTACTACGTAGGTATGTCTAAGTTTGAAGGGAAGGGTCCAAAAGTCGAATAAATCAAAAACAGCTTCAATACGATCCCGGGGCTTACGAGCTTTGAGCTTCTGCTTCTCGAGGATGCCGTGCTTCAACAAGGATCCGTGTGCATCCCAGCCCAGACCCAACTGACGACCCGCAAATAGACCGTGGTCCATGTGATGCGAGCACCATTGCTTCGCCCTCTGGCAAATCTGGCTGACGGATAGCGATGCCAGACCCTTCTCATGAGCATCCCATAACGCACGTAGAATAGCATAGCCGCCTCCTCGGTACTCCATGTTGTCCAAGAAACCTCCGGTCTCATCTTCTTCCTGAATGCTGCTGCCCTTCGCTGCATTCTCAGCGTCGATCGCCATCTTGTAAACTTGGACAGAGTTTGGAAATCTCTGCTCTTACTCATTACTTTGAGGCTCTGAGCGGCTGATCCTTCTACCTCGCTTTTGAAAGCGTCCATGTTCACGGTGCAAATCTCATGATACACATGCTCTTGATCCGCGGGCTGCGACCGCAAACACGGGAGTTGGTGCATCGCATAAGCGAAGCAAAGGAATATATACATACATATATCCACACATGTACGTGTGGTAGGATGTCAAATCTTATGGTCCCTGTTAGGTCTTTTAATCTTTCGGGTAATCTAGGAGAGACCGCAATCTTGACAGCCCCCTCCATCAAAATCCCTATAAAACCCAATGTAAATCCCAGCTTGTCCTGTCATTTCCATGGTCGTTTCCGTTTGGTTCTCCCTTCCTGGGGTATCTGATTGTTCAATGACGTGTCTGAAATCTGACCTTTGCCAAGAGCAAGGCACCCTAAAGGTGAACTCAAGGTAGGGCTTCCGCCAAGAGCACCACCCAAAAGGAGGGATTTCTTCAAAGTGTATAGCCAAGTCACAGGATTGGAAATGATTTCCTGTGTGGGAACCCTTGACAACAGACACCTCATGTTTGATGCTACATGATGACGCTCCAAGCGCACGGCTGTTTCATGTCGCCGAAGCGCCACTCCTGCACAATGTGGGCCCACCTGAGCAGTGTCTTGTTTGGTGCCTTGGGGCTGAAGGGGTGGAACCAATCCAAGAGAACCCTGCTTTCACAATACTGTAGGACTCCAAGTCTTACCCATCATTCAATTAATAAGATATCTCCCATGTCAAAGTGGACCTTCTGTCCCGAAGCAGGTGGACTATGGGACTGCTCCTTTTGAAAATGAAGCACCGCAACGTTTCAGAAAAGCCAACACCCACTGAGATATAGTCCACCTTAGTTAATTAGATAGAATATGGGGTATATGGGGATCCTCTTCTCAGATACCCAAAGCCATATTCTATCTACTTAAGGGGGACTGCATGCAGGAGGTTCTGAATGTCAGCAAGCAGGGTTCGTGATAGTTGGCTCTCCCTCAGAGCCCAGGATACCCATGATAGTCTGCTTCTATTGGGAGTGTATAGGGGTTTTATAAGGATCATAAGGTATATCTTGGGGTTATATAGGGGTTATAGGGTTATATAGGGATTACAGGGTATACGTTGGGGTTATAAGGATAATGGAAAAGAAAATGGAAGCTACTATATAGGGCAGAACCAACCCCATTTTGAGGAGTCTCTCAGAACAGGGGGACCATGGGGACGTTGGGGATATATGGGGGTTTCCTAAAATTAGGTGCACTTTTTGGGGGGTCCTGATAATAAGGACTACAGTATTTTGGGGTCTTCATTGGGCCCCCTATTTTGGGAAACTACCATGTGGAGTCTAGAAAGAAAGTGACTACAGCAAGCATTCTATGATTGAAGCCCTTTAAAAATTATCATGTTCCTTGAAGCTCTTCAGCAATGTAACATCGCTGCGCCCCTGGCGCACAGTGGTCACTCCGGGTTCCGATATCTGCCACCATCTCCATCCTGCTCAGGGGTTTAGGGATTTGGGGCTTAGGGTTTAGGTCAGGCTTACATGCGCGGTGGTGGAATAGGACTATGCCGGGATCATATGTGGAGTTTCCCAGAATCAGCACCCGACTCTTCTTGGAGGCTCCGTGTCATCATAGAACCACCCACTACGGTAGATGGAGGAAATTTTGCACTGCTTAGGACCTCAAAAAGGCTGCAGTTTGCAGGGCTTAAGGCAGGGTGGTGTGAGTTTTCCTCCATCCACTCAAGCACACTTTTTGTTTAGGGTTTGGGGTTTAGGGTTTAGGGTTGATGTTCTGATTCTTCACACTAGCCGCCACGCAGCAGACAGAATAGTGGGGCAACAGCAGGAGAGTTGGAACATCAGCATCCCTCAACCCAAGTCCTCGAAGGTATGGGAAAAGTAGGGCTTAGAGTTAGGGTTTAGGGTTCAGGGTTACCATGTCGGACTTCCAGTTGTCGGCCTTGACTATACCTAATCCCTGAAATCCGTGTATAGCCCCTATAATCCCTATGTAACCTTATATTATCCACAGAAAGGCAAAACCTAAGCCCCCATATCATATCCCCAACCCCTAAATCCTAGACCCTAAACCCCCATATGCCCAAACCCCAAGCAAAATCCTAAAGCCTAAATCCTGAACCAACTCCTAAACCCCAAACCTCAAATCCTAAACCCTAAACCCTAGACCCTATATAACCCCAACTATAGTCGTTTGCTTTTTCTTTTCCATTATCCCCATATAACCCCAATATAACCCCTATCTCCCTGGACCCCTAAACACCTCATTTTTCTCCAATCCTAAACCCTAAACCCTAAACATTCATCCCTGGAAGGAAACTAGGATGGATTCCAGCCTGGCGCTTTGCCAGCTAGCTCGTTTCCCCGTGTCCTCCGCATGATTGAGGGACAGGGCTTAGGGTTTAAAAGGTTTGGGGTTTAGGATTTAGGAGGTTTGAGGTTTTGGGGCTAACATGTTCAAGGGTGAGGTGCTCAGCCCCTTGTGAAGCTGCCTTTGTCTCAAATCTGGAGACTTCCCACCATGAACTCTGTATGCAAGCGGGCGTTTCTCAAAGTTGGGATTGCTTAGGGACCCTACGAATGTGTAGGGATAATGGGATTCCGGGGGGCTAACTGGGGATTGTACGGGATCTATCTTGAAAAAGCAAATCACTAAACGAGCCTTCGTGTGAAACTCACATCCGACCTTACACGAGTGCCTTTTATCTGGAGCCTCTATTTACAATGCATCAGAGGTGCATCCTGATACAGCTAGCACGGATTTCAGAATCCAGGCGGTATCCTGTGTCGTCATCATGGGATTCCGCACCGACATCGCCTCAGCTGCTTCAACAAGCTTTGCAGCTGCCCAAAACATATGAATCTATGTATACAATTCTACTTATGTATGCTACCCCCGCCCCCAACCGCAGGCCCACCCTATAAAGGACATATATAACTACGCGCTGCACCATGCAATTCCCATTAGACTGCGGGCACCACTTGTCACTCACACAGCCTCATGTGCCCGTACAAGCCAAGCAGCGGCGCAAATGCTCAAACAAGGGCTTGGCCTTAGCTTTGGGATGTTGCAGGATCAAATGGAAAATGGAAGATGAAATGGAAATCCTTAGTCCGGATAAAGAGGTAGGTAAGCGGTTATTTATGGTTATTACTACTTACCTCAAGAATGGAGGATCAACTGCACAAGAAAACAGAAAATGAAATGCAGACTGGGTTGTATAGTAGTTGAGAGGAATCATGTCCTTCTCCTCATGGAACCCCGAATATTCCCCAGGCGCGCGTTGTCATAAGCAGCGGCTGCAACTACAGGAGTCTAGTTTGCGTACTTAAAGGTCCTCTACAGCGCTATATACACCCTAGTTTCCATTTAACTTTCCATGTACTTCTCCATTTGACTCTCCATGATCGGGCAATATCCGTAAATGACCCCTACAGCCCCTTTAAAAGGACAGAGAAGCACAGCCATGCAGAAATGGTGAGGCCCCGACTCGCCGAGCAGGCAGCCTCCGTGAAAGCTGCATTTGCTCTAAACATCTAAACCAGCTCAGATCAAGTCCTATATACCTACTGGGGGTTAGTATGGATTAAGGAAATATATCATGTATGGATTATGGACGGATTATATTCCCTTGTTCCCGACTAAGAACCAGTAAGTGTAGTCCTTGTTAGCTTCTTTAACCCTCAGGTGCTACATTTGCCCGGGATGGTATTATAACCCTGCAGTTGTCTCGAAATGCTAAGAATTGCTCATTCGCAAGCTACTTCTGTAGGAATTCGTCAATGACTGCATGGCTGCTATGATTCGCAATACAGATGGATCCGCAACGGAATGAAACAGGGTTGGGGCCCACAAGAATGCTTAATTGCCCATGTTTGCAAAGCGCTGAGTTCGCAAATCCCTATGAAATCCATATATGACCCTTCCTATACACCGACTCCTTGGCTTTTCTGCTTTGAAAATCGCCCGACGGACCCTCCATGTACGCAAAAAGGGAAGGGATTCGGATACCCCCTGTATCATCCCCAGTTCTTCCCCACTTACAACTTGGGCTTCCCCCTACCCAGGTGGACCCTGAACCACAAACCTTTATGCCATCCCACTTTCCGTTTCAGTTTCCATTTCCTTGCACTTGAGTTATAACTTGGGCTTTCCTCCCCCAAACCCTAACTTTAAGCACCCATATCCCAACATATCCTTGCTTTAAGCATACCCACTTAAGGACCCGGCCCAGCACCAGGATCTTGCCCAAACGCGGATGGCACGGCAAAGCGGCAAGGTGTCGACCAAGCCTCGGCATAGGGATTACGCTCCAGGGCTTAGGGTTTAGGGCTTTAGGGTTTAAGGTTTCGGGCTTAGGGTTTAGGTTCAAGTGGTCTTTGGGTTCAGGGTGAGAGGTGGCGGTTCAAGAGGGTTTCGGATTTTTTGATGGTTTGGACTGGAGGGTTTAAGCTTGAGGGGTTGGGAACCGAGCTGTAGATAAAAGGGTTAAAGGGATTTTCTCTAAATGTATACTTAGGGCCAACAGGATTCCTGGACCTGACGAGGCGAAGCAGGGATTGAAAGCTCGTAACCGTAGGTCCTAAACTCTTAACCCTAGATTCCAAACCCTAAACCCTGAACCTAGACCCTAAACCCTGACCCTGAATCCTAAATTCAAACCGTAGATCATAACCCTACCTAGAATTCCCCGAACGGAGACAACTGGGCTCAATGGCGGGGTGAGGCCGTCGGGCTGCGAGGCATCCAGCGCCCCCAGGTCTCGCAATGCTGCCTGCAGCAACCGCTATGCAGGAACCACTATGCAGAGTTTAGGGTTTGGAGTTTAGGGTTTGGGGTTTAGGGTTCAGAGTTCAGGATCCAGAGTCTAGGGCCGGGTTTAAGGGTTAAGGTCTAAAGGTTCAGGGTTAAAGGTATCTTTTTGGAATGCCCGCTACCGTTGGCCAAGATGCATTTGCTGCGCTTTGGGGTTTTGGGTTTCAGGGTTTAGGGTTTGGGGCTGGGGTTTGGGATTTAAGGTACTGATGCCGGGGCACTTTCAAAGTAGCTGTCAAAGCTGCATTGATAGCTTTGTAGAAGCACCAAGCAGGATGTACGCAAGCGTTACTCTCATTGCTCTTTCCTGATGTCTGCACCCGATGATGTACTTTATATGCCCATAATATGTTGACTTAATCTTCATTTATACTCCTTATCGGCAACCCAGCAAAACCTCGCAAGGCGCATTCCAAGCCTCCGCGAAAAGCACAGACAGCTCGTCGGGCGGATCCGGCGTCTTCGCCAAAAAGCCAGGCCTGATGAAAGCGTTTTCGCCAAGCAATCTGAAAGATCAGAAACCCCAAAGAATCTTGTCTTAAGTAGGAGGAGTCTACAGGAAATGGCTGGCCTGTTTTTTCAGACTACACCATTGCCCCAAACTTTAAGTTCAGCAGCAGCAACATGTTTGGAGCAGGGAACCCTACGTTTGAGCTTCCGGCTGAAGGATCCCAGTCTTCTCCCCCCCAGAAACAAGGGTTTAGGATTTAGGGGTTAGGGATTAAGGTTTAGGGCTTGGGATTTAGGGTTTAGGGCTTGGGATCTAAGTAGGGTTGAGGATTTAGGGCTTAGGGTTAAGGGGTCCCAAAAGCCCAAGCCCAACATGTTCGCATCTACTGGGATGCTGGCCTGTCGTCAATGCCGCTTGCACACACCTGGTGCCACGTGCAGAGAGCTCAGGGCTACTGAGATAGGGTCCCAAAAAAACACGGTGGGGCCCATATTCTGGGTTGCTGTCAAGAAACTTAAGCTAAGTTACCACATGGGTACATAGTAAAGAATACGGTTTCCTTATCATAGTAGCTTACTTCTAGTTCCTCAAAACAGCACCCACTATTACGGGTTAGGACCGTAAAGAGGTTGAGGTCTCAGGCCGTATGACTTGTGGCACCGGTTTGGCAACCAAGCAACATCCCATGAGCATCATTCCGGCCAAATTCGGAACCCATAACTATCATATAACTCAAAGAAAATCCTATTTAACTTGGGGGCTGGGGTTCCCAAAATCCGCTCATTAACCTGAACGTGGCTTTCCCGAAGTCACTGCCGCGCACGGCTTAGGGTTGGCGGTTTAGAGTCAAGACTTTTGTGCGTGCTCCGTTTTGGACATCCATGTGATTGGGAAGCTGTTCTCACGGGTTCCACGCCAGGTGCTCTGACTTCTGTGTATTTAAGAATACATAATGCTTAAAAACCTGCTAATTAGGATGAATCCAGGAGAACCCGTGAGGTTCAGTCATCAGAACAAAGGTGCGCAAACACCCCACTTTCTTATGCCCACTTGCAACAACCCTTATGATGCTCGTCATGGGCTTGGCTACTATCATTACTGCAAAAACTGCCCAAACCCCTGCCCTGGCCTAGACCATAAACTCTAACCTCTAACCGCAACCCCAGTTTCCATTTAATGTTCATTGTTCTTTACCGTTTGGTTGATTCTCCATTACGCTGGGCAACTTAGCTTTCTCAATGTAAAAACTGAGCCCTAAAAAATCCCAAGCCCAGGCTGGCCTTAAACCCAAAACCCTAAACCACTAACCCTAAACCCTGAACCCCAAGTCCTAGAACCTAAACCACAAACCCTAAGCCCTAAACCCTAAACCCCAAACCCAGGCCCGCCTGAAGGTACACGTTCTCCAGGGGCACCCGTTGCATCTCGGGCGGCGATACGGCGTCCAGCCGCTCCAGGTGCCTACTTGATGTCAGACATATTACGGGTTGAGGGCTTAGGGTTTAGGGGTATCCTTTCAAGGGGGTTATAGGGGTTATATTCATAGGATTTAGGGATTAGGGTGATTTAGGGATTAGGGTTTAGAGTTTCCGACAATTGGGGGTACCCTTTCAGGGGACCCAAACGATGGGGGTTTTACATAGCGCTTTTGCAGCAGATATGGTCATTAGGGTCCAGGTACCCAAATAATGGGGGTTTCAGGGCTTAGGTTTTAGATCCTAACTTTAATAGGTAAAATCTCAATGGCTTGTAGTGCCTCCAACCTGAATATTTGGGTGCCCGGACGCCATAATAGATACCACACTAGCGTTTGGTAATATACGGTAGTTTCCCAAAACAAGGGGATCCCAAAACAGACCCAAAATGCCATAGTCCTCCTTCCTCTGGGTTGGGGACTGGTCTTTGGCTTTTGCGGTTAAGTGTTAAGGGCTTGTGTAGGGTTTGGGGAAGTTTGGGGCGCTTCAGGGTGTAGGTTTTGGGACGTAGGGTTTGTGGTTCAGGGTTCGGGGTTCAGAGTTTTAGGGTTTCATGTTTCAGGGTATATTGGCTTTAGGGTTTTCAGGTTCAGATTTGGGATTTAGGGCACAGGGCCTTCATATGTAAAGCTTGAAACGCCAAACCATTGCAGTAGCGGATTCCCTCCGGAGGGGAGGTTAGACTAGACCAGGGGTACGCAAGGCTATATTTGGAGTACGCTGGGGTCACCGTATGTCACCGTCACTTCTTGCTACTTGACTTTGCCATGGCTCGGAAAGACAAAACTGTAAAAGTTACATGTGGACTTTACATAGGTTATAGATAGACTACACTATGATTGTTTGTAAAACGCGCAGGGATTGAAAGAAATTGCGAAGGCAATGAGATGCAGTTTTGGTCTGAAGGGATTCCTCATTTGATAGGTACAGGTTTCAAGTCGCTCTCGGAAACAGTGACATGAGAAGCTTCTGCTTGGTGGTCGAAACTTGCGAGCGCGTATTTTTTTGATAAAGACCACCACCAAAGGGAGGCCATGCTGTTACTCAAGATTGTCTATAGCATCTCTAAATAAAATCCTACACATGTGCCGAGAGCAAGCGCGTGCATTCTCTTGATTGAGACTCTGGTTTCTTCTTCTTCTCTGCTTCTTTTCGAGGCTTTTCCAAGGAACCACTTGTCAAGAAATCGTCCTCTTGGCAATGATCTCATGAGTAAGTGCTCACACTATGAACTACAATCGTTTTCATGACTCCGGGGAAGGTCAATCTCTACGAGTTCTACTTAAAGGCTCAAGGAAACGATAACCAACTCATATAGCTGGTACTCGAGACCCAATTATGACCCTACAGGGAACTACGGGGCTTATCTAAGTACAGGTCTAATTGGGTTGAAACCTTTAGATAATACCTATATTATGATCCTACATAATCCCTTGCAATTGGTAGTTTCCCAAGATAAGGGAACCCCAATATAGACCCCTAAATACTATAATCCTTATTATAGGGACCCCCAAAAGGTTACCCCTAACTTTGGGAAACCCCCAATTAGGTTTCTGATTCCCTGAACCTCCAAGTAAGGCATGCCATGACAGCCAGGGCAGAGGCCGCTCGGGCAGGAGACGCAGACAAACGCCAGGCTGAACCTTGCAAAGGGTAGGGTTTAGGGCTTAGGGTTTAGGGTTTAGGGTTTAGGGGTTCAGGGTTTAGGGGTTTAGGGGTTTAGGGTTTGTTTTCAACAAGACGGGAATTATAGGGATGCTGAAAGAGGTAAAATTTAAGCTTTAGGGGGATATTACTCCCATGATGGAGAAGCGTGTGGAAACTAAGAGGGAAAATGGAACCGAAATTGTGACTATATTGGTGTTTATGGGGATCAGGGTCTCTCTCGGGGTCTCTATAATAAGAATTCTACCATGTTGCTGTCAGGCATGGCATTTTGAACTCGAAACATGTGAGCGCTGCCATCGTAGCTTTCATCTCACCCTGCTAGTCTTGTTGCCCATTCTTCAGACTTCTTCGTCGCTCGTCTTCTTCGGCTTTGGTGCTGTCTTCTTCGGCTTTGGTGCTGTCTTCTTCGGGATTGTTTCGTGTCCTTGTTCTCAGTTTCAATGTTGCACTTAGCTTTACAAATTGCTTTCTATGCTCTGCAGCTCATAAACTGTAGCTCAACTGCTCTTGTCCCCTGGTATCTCATAGCTCCATAGACTTGCATGCTCTCGTTCCGGTGTCCACCTGTGCACTGCAGCCATACCCGTGTCAAATCTTGCGCAGTCAAGTCAGGGACAAGACTAACATACCAAATGGAACCCCATGTCCACCGTTAGTGATTCCTTGGTATATACCCCTATGTATCATATGAGGCCGGTAGCTTGGCAATGCGCATGCTTCACGGGGCCCCCACGCGGCCAGCACGACCGCGACGCTGCTTCAGCGAATCGAGGGCACACCACTGCTCGCCTCAAATGCGGGCTGCTTGCAGCTACAATTCAACAACTCTTCAACTCTTGAACCCTAAACCCCAAATCTCAAACCCTAAGCCAAATGGTATTGCATGGGCAGGTTTTTATCGATACCAAAATTGTATTGCATGTGCCGATTGTTGTCGATGAAAAAACTGCACGTGCAATACCATCTGGAACCCTAAAATCACAAACACTAACGGCCCCTGTGGCCCGAACGAAGCATGGGTGTGTTGCTATGCCGATCGACCTGGCAGGCAGGTGCTGAACTTTGGGTTCAAGGCTTAGGGTTTAGGTGCTTAGAGTTTGGGGTTAAGGGGGTCAAGGGGGTTTAGGCTTTAGGGCTCAGGATGCAGGGCCTAGTTTAGAGGGTTTAGAGGGTTTAGAGGGTTTAGAGGGTTTGGGGCATAGGGCCTAGGGATCTGGATCCAAAACAAAACGAACCAAGCGGGCTTATATAGGGGTAGCACCCTTTTCATAGTGAATGAATTGGAAAAATAGAAATTACATGGACGTTAGGCTATGGGGATACATGGCGGGTAAGGAAAAGAAAGTGCAAACTACCGTATTATTGGGCATAGAATAAGGACTACTATGAGGCTTACAAAATGCCAGGTGGTGAACTGTAGACCCCGAACCCTAAGCCCTAAACCATAAGCCCTAAATCTGAGGGCCTTAAGCCGTAAATTTGAGGGCCTTAAGCCCTAAACCTCAAACCCAAAACACCAAACCTAGCCACACAGGTGCAAGCCTGGTTGCGACGCTCTCGGCAGGTGTCGATGACAACGGTGACATCGGGTACCTTTCGGGGCAGTTTAGGGTTTAGGGTTTGGGGCTTAGGTCTTCGGATAAATAAAGCACTTCTCTGAGGGTTTAGGCTTTAGGGCAGCTGACAGGCCAAAGGGAAAACTAGCACCGGCTTGATGCAACCACCATACTTTGCTCTCTGGGGGTAGGGAACAAGGAAACATCTTATACAGGGACAGCATTAATTCCCTTGCTCCCTTCTGACCACCAGTAAGCTTGGGCATTGCAATAGTTCATGCTACGCATGCTGTAAATTTGATACGGCGAAGCTTAAAACGCAGATTCAATCGTGGAACCGGTGGACATGGAAGTGAGCAGTGAGGGTGGGAACGAACACCCGGATCCTGAAGCCTCCTCCCTGATCAATGCAGTGGGGTCTGGGTGTATAGTATATTGGGTGTATACTCGGGATAATGGAAAAGAAAATGGAAACACTATTTAGGGTTTAGGGCTTAGGGTGTAGGGTTTAAGATTTCCTGCTGAGCCTGGTACTGTCACAGAGGTCTCCGCAACGTTGGTTGAGCAAATGATCTTGCGAGTGCAGCCTGAGGAGCGACATGTAACTGTGCCAGCACTAGAATCATGGGTTCAACTAGTACCCCCCTCTATACTACCCCTCCCAGGTTCCCCCCTTAATTAACCTTAATTAGGCTTAACTATCCCTAAATAAACCTTAATTACGGGGGGACCCTAGGGGGGTAGTAAAGAGGGGGGTACTAGTCGAACCCATGGTAGAAGCGACATCAAACTGTGCAAGACAACTGTCTCAGCATGTTGCACGTCTGCATGACCAACCCTAAACCCTAAGCCCGGTAACTTAACAGACTCTTTGGTTGAGCCTCTGCGGGCTGGTGAATTGATGCAGGGCTGATTTGAGACAGTCATCCTTCAGGATGATGTGCAGAAACCACCAAAAGTGCTTTCATTAATTTGAATACCAGTCTTACTAATAAGTGCGATACCGTTCTAGTACTAATCATAGTGCTACTAATATACTCCTACTGCTACTACTACTACTGTGCCTGACGGCAGCGTGGTGCTGAAGCACTGCTGCTGCTCCTTGCAAACGCGAAGGCGACCAACATGTGCGCGGCCCTACGTCACCTTCTACAGAGCCCAGAAACAGCAACCCGATTGCTGTCAGACACAGAAAAGGGGCCCATGGCATATCCAACATGAGTCTTGGCTATAACCCTAAAGCCTAAGCCCCTTCAAAGCCAAGCAGGTTCCTCCGGCGGCAAGTTCGCATGAAGCGGCAGCACCCACCATTTGGATGACATGGTGCTGTCATCTGTGAGCTTGGACCTGATCTTCTGCGAATACAAAGCAAACAGAAAGATAGCATGAGCAGATAAAATCCATACCACATACATAAAGAAAACTGAAAAATGATATGGATTGAACTGCCACGTGGTATCTCTCAAGGTGAAAGGGCAGCCTCCCCAAAACCAAGGCTCTGGGTCCCTTTTTTATGCTCAACACATACACCAATCCTTATTGAAAGGCCCCTAGAAAGGACCCCGAACCCTGAAACAAAGGACCCAGCATCAGCTGCGTGATCTCACCAAGCCCAGGCAGGAAAACCAGGATGGCACCACGGTGAGGGTCCTCGTACTGCGACATAATTTGGAGTTTCCAAGTACTTGAAGCACTGTCAAGAACCAGGTTTCAGCAGGATATGCCATATGACTTCATATACAACAGCAAGCCTAGATCCCAAGGCAGACGTGCCAGCCCAAAGAAGGGCCAGAACCTGTCCTTTTTGCCATTTGCTCACTTCAGCATCACCACAACCGCATCAATGCTATTTAGATCAGGTCCCCTAAACCCTAAACCCTAACAGCAGAAGGCCTGTGGTTTCCAGAAATAGGAGCCGGAATCTAGACCCCAATATACTTGAATTCCCGTGATTGCGAGCGCCGAAACTTTTGAGAGACAAAGTGTGTTCAAAGTGTTACATCACAGCATTAATATTCATTAAGCTGGTCCCATTGGTATAAATGGTAATCATGGATTATTCTTATTAGGAGTAGTAGTAGCCATAGTACCGTTTTGCCTAATTAGAATTCTTGCTGTTCCTCTTCTTAGCGTCATCATTGTTTTCATTATTCTAGTATCAGTATAGAATGAAGGGCTGGTCTCATGCTTCAGAAGGCCCTGCACAGTAAACCCTAAGCCCTAAAGCTTCTGACACCATCATCCATCGAGTTGGATCCTCCATGGGTGTCAGGTACGAAAGGGTGTAGGCAACTATTTTGAGGTCCATGTGAGATATCCTGTGCTATAATTATACCTGGAATCTAGGACGATAATGTTGGTAATTGCTCAGGATTCAGGAACAATATTCGCAACCCTCCCATCACTTGACTTCTACAAGCTCAAATTTTGCGGAATCCATGATTGCTCTCACAGTCGGTGGAGCATCTGTCACAGAACGAAAGTTGCAGCATTTATGATATATGCGGGGCCAAGTAGCAAATCACGCGTACAATCCACTGCAATCGGAAGCAACACTGGGAGTGTCAGGGGTTTGCCAAGATGTGGCCCCCTATACAACCTGTTGCACCTAGACAGGGAGACTCTTCATACAATATGGTAGTTTCCCTAAATAGGGGAACCCCAATGTAAACCCAAAAATACTAGAATCCTTATTGGAAGGACCAGGTACACTTAATTTTGGGCAACGCCCATAGCCCTGTAGGCAAAAAGTTGCAGATTTAATATTATTAATATAGTATATTGGGGTTAGATTGGAATAATGGAAAATAAAATGGAAACTACTATAGTAGGGTTATATAGGTATTATAATATAGTAGTTTCCATTTTCTTTTCCATTATCCCAATACAACCCCAATATATACCCTATTATAATATAGTAGTTTCCATTTTCTTTTCCATTATCAAGGGAACTCTCAGCGGGGATCCCAGCGTCGTCTTTCTGCTGAGGGATGAAAGACACAAACTCCGGCAACAGGGTTTAGGGTTTAGGGTTTAGGGTTTAGGGGGCCAACATTGACATTTACCCTAACTGTTGGGATGCTCCTGGGAGCTTGGAGTTATGTTGGGATACTGGAAGGAAACTACGACTTTTAGGGTTTAGGGTTTGGAGGCCTGCCACAAGGCTTCAAGGATTCTCTGTGCTGGAGCTTTCCACCTCAACCATAAGCCACTCCTAAACCCTCAACCCTGAACCCTAAACCCTTAACCCTAAAACCTTAACCCTAAACCCTTAAGCCTAACCCCTTAACCCTCAACCCTTGACCCTAAACCCTGAACCCTAAACCCTAAACCGAGATCCTTGGCCGTCGCTCGCATCGACTCCGGGGCAAAAGTCCAGGCTCCGTCTGGGGAAGTTTCGATCCTGGGCAGTGGGGTTTAGGGTAAACAGTCCCGTTCAGAAGATCGAATATGGCTGTTGGTATATTATAATAAGGTCCCCATATACCCCATGCTCTATCTTCCTGAGGGGGACTATAGTAGGGTTTAGGGCTGAGGGTTTACTTCGGCTTTCAGAAATTGTACGGCTTGTCGGAGATGTGGTACTTCACCTTAATAAGGGAACCCCAAAATAGACCCCAGAATAAACTCCAAAATATTCTAGCCTTTTTTCTGGGGACCCCAAGATGGTACCCCTAATTATGGGAAACCCATGGAAACCTTTCAGTGGGTTCATCTTGCTGCAAGTCAGGGGCCAACTTCTGAGGCTATTGTACCTGTTGTTGGCTTCACGCTTCACTCTAACGTTGAACATGCCCTTCCCCATGCAATAGCTACAGCATGTGCCTTTTTTGTTGTGGAGGGCAGTCGCGGTGTTTTTTGCTGCGGGGGTCGAGCTTTTGTGGTCTTTCTTTCGTCATGTTGGAGGCTCGGCGTGGCTTTTAATTACAGAGGTCGGGGATTTGGATCGAGAATACACGAACCTTCTTCGCAAATGCCCGATGTGGAACGAAAATACCAGGATGCTCCACGTGAGAGCGTCGTTCTGAGAATGTAAAGTCTGTCATTCCCCAACCTAGAGCACACAGACGAGGAACACAACATTGTGAGCATTGCATGGACTTCCCGTGCTACCTACTCCAGTCAGACCTATTTAGACGTTATAGGATCCCAGCTCCCCAACGCTGAGAGTTTCACTCCTCCACAATCTTGAGGATGAGGTCGTAATCAATCCCGTCGCTTTCCGACCTCACCCCGATGCCAACCGGTCTGGATCATTCTGCTCTCAGGTCGTCGGCTGCAGACGGTGCGAGAAGCCCGCACAGAACATTGAGTCAGAAACCAAGACAGTCGCGGGACGACACGAAAGCGGACAAGCTTAGTTTGCAAGGCCGACATCACATTGAAGCTGAGTAGAAGGCATTTCGGTATGCTCTCTTCGGAGTTCATCGGGACCTGAGTTTTTGGAGAACTGACTGTCCTCTTCATGCGGGCTTCTACGATGGAATGGGCTCCCTGCTTGTTGGGAGACGGTACAAACCCTAAATATCTCTCTAAACTCATGCTAAGCCTAAACCCTGCAGCCCAGAGCCCTAAACGCCTAAACCCCAAAGCCCTAAACCGAGAGATTCGAAGCCTCAAACCCTGAAATAGCTCCAAAACTGATCCTGGAAGGAAATCCTCATCACTCGAAATGCCCACTTTCCCTTTCATGTTCCAGTTTGTTTTCCATGTGATTCTCCATCATCGGGTGATAGCCCCCTTAACCCTATATACCTCTGTACATATTTACTACTATACTAAGAAAGTCTACTTAAGGGCCCCCGAGTACTCATGAACCCATGACCCCTACCTAGACCAAATCTGAAACCCGAAGCTCCAAACCCTAAACCCCAAAATCTAACCCCTATAACCTAAACCCTCAAACCTAAACCCTGGAACCTAAACCCTCAAACCTAAACCCTAGAACCTAAGCCCTCAAATCTAAACCCTAGAACCCAAGCCCTAAAACTCTTGAGGCCACAGCTCTTTGCTTCTGGGGCCCGGTTTCGGCCTAGAGCTCATCTGGCAGGCCGAAGGTTAGGGTTTAGGGTTTAGGGGTTGAGAATGCAAAAGGAAGTGGAAACTACTCTTTAGGGTTTAGGGTTCGGGGTTTAAGGTTTACGGTCAGGGGTTATGGTTTAGGGTTTGGAGTTTAGGGTTAGGTTTGGGGGGGTTAGGGTCTAAATTGGTGTCTTTCAAGGATACACAGGGGATACTGTATAGGGGTATATTGCCCCAACAATAGAGAATCAAAGCGGAGAATTGAATAGAAACTGTTTTTTTGGTGTTCACTGAGATGAAGGCTTACAAGAGTGGAACCCTTTTCAGGAATGAGAATTTGGGGGTGTAGCATTTGTTCTGGCTTCCTGGTTCATAGTCTAGGATTCAGGTTCTGAGGTCGCAGTGTCATTCAACGTCTTCCTCCCTTTCAGAGCGTGAAACGGCTCATAGCAAGCAATGTAGTGGGTCAGGGGTCCCAGCCCAGGCGCGCGTTGACGGTTTCCATGTAGCACTCCGCCTGGTGACAGGAGGGCTGTAGCGCACGATGACACTATGTCACTATGTATTGGAAGCCCACTATTTGATAGCAGCATCACATTCAAATTCCTTGTAGAATTGTAGGGTGGGCTTCGAGGACGTCTTCCTGCCCCTTTAAGGCAACCAAAACATGAGCAGCAACTCCCTATAAATGCAAATAAAACCAAATTGTCTTTTCCATTTGGATTCTCCATTTTGGGGGATAAAATTCCCTAAAACCTAAACGCTAAATAGTAGATTCCATTTCAGTTTCCATTCTCTGGTCCGTTCGATTCTCCAATATTGGGATATCCGCAATGATGGAAAATCAGTCAGAAAAAAAAAAAGTGGAAAGTCAAACGGAAACTGAGATTATGTAGCGGGTTATTGAGATTAGGGTTATGTACAGGTTGATTAGGATCGAAGTTATGTAGGGGTTAATGAGAATTAGGGCTCCCTTTCACAACACCTTCTCAGGACCGTACCAGTGCTGCCATTCTGGAGTCTGGCTGTCCAAAATCCACGGCTGCCCACCATAAAACCCTAGAACAAAAAACCCTAAAACCCTTAAACCTGAACCACTAAAACCTAAGCGAGCTGAGGCAGGGGCAACTGGATGGCAGAATGCAGGGCCTGGCAAGGCCAGCATTGACGCTTGAAAATAAAGCCGAACACTTGCCTGGTGAACATTTAGGAGCCCTAAAGAAATACTTATTATGGCTTTATGGGTGCACAGCCATAATCATTAAAGACTATTCCCCTTCATTGCTTGAATTAACTTGTGCGTGATTCGCTCGTGTTCTGGATCGGCATGTCACAGCGGGGAAAGCTACAACGGATGCTCAGACTTTCAACTCCGCAAAAAATATGGGCATTATTGTTTGAGTCTGGGTGCGGGACAGACAACCATCGGCGGCTGCTTGAGGGCTACCGCTCCACCCTCAGCTTCTCTGCCAGAGAAAGAAACACTGCGAGGAGCGGCGATACAAGTGCACTGTATGTATCCGAGGCGGCGTCCACCGTGGCCACTTTCACAGGAAGACCTAATCAGAAGCAAACATGCTGCGAGTATTTGAAAGCTACTTGAGGCCTCCAGGCCCCTGTCTAGTCCCAATGTATACCCTATGCAGGACTCCTGCATTAGAGCATGCGCTTGCGCTCAGGAGCTGGCTGAAGTACTTCAAGAAGCACTCGGTATCCATGGTGGCGCCTTTGCAAATGCCAGGCTCACGTCTCTGCGTTACGTGCTGGAGGGGTCTCCCTAAACCCTAAACCCTACATAACCCATTATAGTAGTTTCCGTTTTCTTTCCAATTATCCCTATATAACTCCGATATAACCTTAATGTTACCCCAAAATACTAATTATAGTTAATGTCTCAAACAACTACCAAACGCAAACTACCATCAGCTACCAATCTGGAATCTGGACTAGTTGCATTGACCATGTCGCTGGTTTTGCTATCAACCTGCCCATGCTCCGCCATCTTGCTATCCCTGCAGCCTGCACCCCGAACTGTCATGTCATGAACCCTTAAAGTGAGGCACAGCTCACTCTGCAGCTGAGATGCTCATAAGAACCACGCGAAGGTTTGGTCGATTCGCGCGGGTCTGAGGGCAAGCGTAGCGCAGTGCGGGGCTGTGCCCCATAACAATGGAGATGATGCTATACAAAGGTTTCGCAAAATTGAAGGATTCTGCAAACTACAATATGACACACATCATCGTCCTTCAGTTGTTCAACACTGGTGTGCATGCTGGTACGATGCATACTGTGCTTGTCTCTGATACAGTAGCAGTTGGATGAAACCTTCAAGACCCAATCTTGCTGCGAACTTGGCAGGTTGTGGGAGAGCCTAAACCCTAACCCGAAATAGCGGCATTATGCAGTTGTTCACGAGATGGAATCTTACTTCACTCTGAGAGCCTTAATGTCCTCAGTGTAGCCGCCACTCAAATGGATTGGAGTCCGATGCCGATCGACTAGGCTCGGTCCGGTCTAGTTCAGGGCATCAATTTGGCACAAGGTCGGGGCCTGAAGCCACACGGAAGATGCCTGCATTAAACCCTAGACCCTAAATCACAATGTGATGATGCACTGCATCACGCCTTGGGATAAATGACTCTCTGATGGGCCCCTTATCCAGCGAGCTGCCCAAATCTCACGTGCTCTCCAACACAGAGATTGCCAGTGAGCAACCATATTATTAATCAGAAGGCTCTACCAGACTCTATACAAGGTACTACAGGCTATGACCTTATTGAAAGTTGAGCGTTTTTACCCAGGTCCTGAACCATAAACCCTAAAACCTAAACCCTATACCCTACACCCTATACCCAAAAGCCTATACCTCGAAGCCAGTGTTGCAAGCTCAGACATTCGCCTCGCGCAGGAACGTGAGCATGAAATCTGTCTCGACGCCGCGCTCATGGACCTGCGGCTGTAGCAAGGGGGCTGCAACTTGCAGCCCATACATACAGTTTAGGCTTTAGGTTTTAGGGTTCAGGGTTCAGGTTTTAGGATATTGGGCTATATAGGGTTGCATAGGGATACATAGGGATACATTACAGAAGGACAGCCTACTTGCAGGATGGGAGGACTTGCCAAACAAAGTGGCTGTAGCTTGGCTTAAAAAACCAACTCTCAATTAGGATGCTGAATACACTTCGCTTTCCTGCATGCAGACTGCATGAAAACCTGCACTCGCTGCTCCAAAATGTGAGGTTGTTCCAACGCATCGCGAATCTGCACCTCGTCCACCAGCAGATGGGTCACCTTCGTTGTTCCGAATGAGCGCAAACATCTTTAGTTGATGATGAGATCCCAATGTTCCTTCAGGGTGTCTATGTATGCTAACACATCTTTCACACCACTCAATATGCCAACAAAATCTCTGCTCCATTGAGCTGGGCCACAGTCTTCGGGCTGAACATGAACTTGGTGCCCTCATTCGCCAATCTTCGCCTAGGTGTCGCAAGCAGGCACACTTGCAGCAGGTAGCGGGACCCTCAATTTGTTTGGCAGATTCAGCCGCGGCACAAAACCACACCCGTGGTGCAGAACAGAAGCTTGCACTTCGGACCAGCGACCTGCCATGTGCCAAGCGCAAACGTGAAACTGATTGCAGTGCGCTTGCAGCGTCATCTTCCAGGCCAGCCAGACAGTCGTGCCGCGGATTTTGTAACCAACCACCCCCTCGCCGACCTGCCAGAGCAGTCACAACCACTATCCAAACACTTACCTCCATGGCCACACATCACTGTGCAACTGCTCTCAGGCGAAGTTTCCCTAAAGCCCCCGGGCTTTCAACACAAGACATGAAATCCTATACTCAAATATAGAATGTTGCAGAAAACAAAAGCTTCTTCAGCTGATGGCTGGCTAATCTGAATCTGCATGCTACAAGTACCATGCTGCTGGGCTGTATAGAGGCGGTCGCCTCGAACCCATCTGGCAGTTTCTGTGACCCCCAAAAAAGAAGCGCCAAATGTTGAGAAACGCTAATCCCCATGAGTGATGATAGGGATTACGGCTTCTCTAGCTTTAGGAGTACTGCCAAGCCCATAACCCTAAAGCATTAAACCCTAATACTTAAAGCCTCAACCCTAAACCCAAAAGCCTATACCCTGAACCCTAAATAGTAGTTTCCGTTCTCTTTTCACTATATAACCCCCATATACCCCCTATAATCCCTGTAGTTCCCATTTTCTTTTTCATTATCCCTATATTCCCCATTATCTACCCTATAGAACCCCTGTATAAGCCTAGAAATCCCTTTAAAGGGACCTAGGGTTTCCATTTTCTTTTCCATTATCCCTATATTCCACCATATATTCCTCAGAGCTTTGGCCGAGCCTTCTCCCCCAGCTCTTCAGCAACACGCTTTGCCACCGTGATGGCGGCTATTCGCCGCGGCCTGAACTGGCTAATCTGCAGAGTTGAGGGTTTAGCCTGTTTAGGTTTTAAGGTTTTAGGGTTTAGGGTTTACTGTTGAGACTGAAGATCCTGCATGACCTTAGTTTAATGTATTACCACCTCCCAGGGCTATACAGGACTTTTAGTATCCACCGCATGTTGCCAGTGTACCACTGTTCATCACTATCACTATGACTAACGCATTCAATTGCTGGGTTTAAGTCTTGGGGTTGACTTGCTTAATTAATCGAAGCTGGTTCAGCTGAAGAGTAGCGTGATATACCTGCATGTCATGAATTACATGAGTTTCCGAAATAAAAAAAAAAAAAAAAAAAA